AGTCAACAGCTACCTCAACAGGCTCAACCGGGTCTACCTGGGACACACCTGAGGGAGCGGCACCCTGAGGGGGGAGGGGGTCTACCACAGCAGCACCTGGTGCGAGGAAGAGAGGCGGGGGGGGGAGCGGGGCAGTGCGGTAGGGGAAGAGGCGGTAGTAGGGGACGGACTCGTCAAAAGTGACGTCCTGAGAGGGCAGGACCCGGCGCGAGGTGGCGTGGTAAAACTGCCAACCAGACGCGTCAGGGACAAAGCCAAGGAAGACGCAGGGAACAGCGCGGGAGGAGAGCTTGTCCGTGGACGTATCGCGGACAAAGGCTCGAGATCCCCAGACCCGGAAACGCGACGCATCGCCAACCTCCCCCGTCCACAGCAGTGTGGGCGAGGTCTCCGGCATGGAGACACGGGGCCAGAGGTTGAGCTGATGCGCAGCGTACTGGACCGCAAACGGCCACAGAAAGTGGGGGGCAGCCGCATGGATCAAGGAGTTATGGGCGACCTCCATGACTAGGCCAATGCGGCGCTCCGCAACCCCATTCTGTTGTGGAGAGGCCGGAAGCGTGAACGACTGCTCAATGCCGTGCTCAGCACAGTAGGCTGCCAAGAGGTCGGAGGAGAACTCACCACCTCTGTCAGAGTGCAAGCGCAGGACAGGAAAGTCCGAGTGGAAACGCTCGCTGAGCTGGAGACGAGCTCTGCGGATCCAAGGGATCAAAACATCAGGGACCTCACCCTTGGTGCGCAAGGGGAAGACCGTGGTGTAGCGCGAGTAGTCGTCAACAACTATCAGGAAGTACCTCTCCTGACCCTGACCACGGACGCGGGCTGGGCCCCACACGTCCATGTGGAGTGTCTGCAAGGGAGCAGTCGTCGGGGGAAACGAGGAGGAGTGAGGAGCGGCGCGCTGCCGCCCCTCGACACAGGGAAGACAGGGAGGAGCAGGCGAGGGTGGGAGGGGAGGGAGAACCCTGGGAAGACCAGAGACAAGGTACCGGGAGTGCATGGCACGAAGGCGCTGCACAGACGGGTGGCCAAGTCGGTGGTGCCAGAGGACAGTCTCGTGCGCGAGAGAGCGACACGAGCAGGGGGCCGACAGCTGACCGGACGCAGACGCAGACGCAGACGCAGCGACCTGAGGGGACTCAGTGGTCAGTGTGTACAGGTCCGACCCCGGCTGTCTAGTGAAGGTAGCCAAGTGACGGTCCGTACGAGCACACGTGCAGTGGGTCACGCGCTCGTAGGCAGGGGTGAACTGGTGAACACCCGCGTCCTGGAGCGCACTACCTGCCACCAGGTTCGTAGAGAACGAGGGGAGGTGGAGACCGGACAGTGTGCCTGACGGGACCGCAGGACAGGGAAGGACAGTGGAGGAGGTCGCAACGACCGGGCCCCCAGAGGGGTCAGCGAGGGAGACAGCAACTGGCCGAGCAAGTGGCTCAAGGACAGTGCGGTCACGAAAGAAACAGCGAGAAGCACCGGAGTCCAGTGTGAAGGTGTGCAGTGCCTCAGTCGACTCAGTACCAGGGGGCGCAGACGCACAGGCACCTAGAGCAGCAGCCGCACCAGCACCTGGGGTAGCAGACAAGTGAGTACCTGACGCGGCAGACGCACTAGCCCTAATGCCCGGGTCGGGCGGAACACACAGGTACTGAGCACCCTCTCCACTAGTAGACATCACATACATGGCAGTAAGAATAGCATCAAAGTCTAGAGCATAGATATCAATCCCCTTCTTCAGGAGATCAACCCAGCGGGGCAGCTCAGTGGCCTGAGGGAACTGAACACGCCAAGCGTTGTTGAGGCGGGCGAAGCAGCGCTGCGTGGTGTGCGGTCCCCCACACTGCTGACCAGTGCGGTCACCAGTGCGAATGACATACGTGTAGCTAAAGCCACCCCCCCCCCCCCCCCCCCCGTGCTGAGAGTACCACTCACGGACCTCCTGGGGCGACGGAGTGGGCTGCTGGCTTGGACCGCTGCCAGCGCCTCCACGACCACCACCTCCGCCCCCACCTCCTCGACCACCCCAACCCCTGCCGCCGCCGCGTGTTGAGATAAGCGGTAGTCTTAGGAGCCATAGCTAGGAGAGTCCTAGCTAGGCAAGAGAGTTTAGGCGAAAGAGAGGGGTTGCACTAGCAAGAATGGGGATACAAATAGCAAACCCTAGAAGGGTTGTACTCGCTACAGAGCACCCCACTACAGGCTAGAGCATAATATTCTGACACACCCCCATAGCCAAAGTGGGGTGTAATCAGCAGAGCAAGCAAAGCAGTACAAGCTCAGGGTGGATCACAATGTCACCACACATTCTGAGCACAAGTTTAAGAAGCAATAGTTTAAAGTTCACAATTATGAGCAAAGCTAGTGGTAGTCACAACGGGGAAGTGAGGAGGAGGAGGGCTGGCGAGAGGAGAGTAGATGGGAGGCGACGACTGAAGCTGCAGTCACACGGGCAACAGACGGCTCTGGTGCGACACAGTGGCTACCGGGAGTGAGTGCCCCGGAGTACAGGAGTAACAGGCTCCGCGGCTAAGACGAGCAGCAGGAGCAACGGACCCACAGGCGACGGCGCAACCGGCTCTCTGAGCTACCGGGAGTGAGTGCCCCGGAGTACAGGCGCTGCGTACGACACGACGGCAACCTCCCCTCAACCTCCCCCAACAGTCCCACATCCCTCGACACACACCCGCTGCTACACCGCTAGCTCCACTCCCCCTTCACCCCCCCTTAGTACCACTCCGACGGCTCCAACAGGTCCACCCCCCTCAGCGGCAGCTGCAGCACAGGGAGACGGAGGAGGAGGAGGAGCAGGGAACGGCACACAGAAGCTGCACCCCCATACCCCCCAACCCCAAACCCTAATCCAGGAGAACGGGCAGAAGGAGGGGTGGGGCGCCTTCAGAAGCACGGGGGACAGCGGGGAGGACAGGGGCAGCGAAGAACGGGGCGCCCACGGGCCTGGCACAGCCTCCCGAACCGCGCGCAGGCGGTCCGAGCCGCGCGCGGGACTGGCGCAGCCCGTACGGGCCGCGCGCGTGCCTGGCGCAGCCCGTACGGGCCGCGCGCGGGCCTGGCGCAGCCCGTACGGGCCGCGCGCGGGCCTGGCGCAGCCCGTACGGGCCGCGCGCCGGGTGTACGGGCCGCGCGCAGGCCACGACGGGCGACGGGGGGCGACGCGCGGGTCCCCGTCGCCCGTCTCAACGCCTCCCGGGGGCGACGTGCCGAGTGATGGGGAAGGAACCCGTCGCGCGCCTCGGGGCACACGGCGGGCAGAGAACCGCCGCGCGCCTCGGGGCGCACGGCGGGCAGAAAACCGCCGCGCGCCTCGGGGCGCACGGCGGGCTGAAAACCCTAGTTTCGACGCCGCGCACCACGGGGCGCGCGGCGGACAGGGAGTAGCAGTAGCAGCGGGGGCCTCTAAGGGGCTGAACGCGGGGCCGACGGGGTCGCTAAGGGGCGGCGCGCGGGTCGCTAAGGGGCGGGTCGCGGGTCGCGGGGCCTTAGGGGGCCGTGAAACACGAAGCGCTCTAGGGCGCAGGTAGGTAGGTAGGTAGGTAGGTAGGTAGGTAGGTAGGTAGGTGGGCCCTAAAAAAACGGTCCTAGCGAAGGACCTGCTCTGAAACCATGTTGAAATTAACAGGCAGGAAAATGATTGAACTAGCAGTGAAATGAGTACAAGTACCTAACCCTAGAATTGTGTACCCCCTAAAGGCTAACCCACTGTAGCCTAAACAACCACAACATATATAATGTTTGACACTATATAAAACAGAGCAAGCAGTACAATGATCACAACCTAGCAAGTGTAAGCATGCAGGTATATATATATATATATATATATCACAGTACAAGCAAGGTCACGCAGTGAGCAAGTGAGCAAACGTAGGCACGAGGCCTAAAGCAGTACAGAGACGCTGATGATCACCAAGCGAAAGTGCCTTGGTGAATCTATCAGCAGTGTTGGCCCGAGTGGCCACGTAAGCAAGACGAAGCTGGCCACGCTGCTGCAACTCTCGAGCAAGGAAGTACCGCAGAGCGATGTGCTTTGTTCTGTGCTCCATTCTATGCTCATGACACAAGGCGATAGCGGCCTTGTTGTCTACGTACAGAACTGGAGGAGAACTAGGCCGCTCTCCCAAGTCGGTCAGCAGGTAGGTGAGTCAGCGTAACTCCTGTGCAGCCATGGCTCCTGCGTAAAACTCAGCCTCACAGCTGGAGCTGAGAACAGAAGACGAGCGGGTAGACCGCCAAGAAACAGAGCCGGAGCCAAGGCTGAAGGTGTAACCCTGTGACGACCGCTGCGTAGCCAGGTCGTCAACCCAAGAGGCGTCTGAGTGTCCAGTGAGGACAACTGGACCCTGTCCTCCAAGCACCAGCCCCATGCCCGATGTACTGCACAAGTAGCGTAGCACCCTCTTAGCAGCCTCCCAGTGCTCTCGCCGGTGTCTCCCAGGCGCAACGTAGCGAGCCAGGATGCTAAGAGGGTACGCAAGGTCAGGTCGCGTGCAGGTCATCAGGTACATGAGGCAGCCCACAAGCTCTGGATACGGGCCACTCGGCTCTACGGACTCGTCCAAAGGTGGAGCTGAGAGCGAGTGACCGGTAGGCAGAAAAGTGGAGTGTGGTGAGGAGAACTGGAAGCCGAAGCGCTGAAGGACCTGCTGCACCATGTGTGACTGAGTCAGGGTGATGGTGCGGCGTGCTCTGTCCTGGGTGATCTACAAGCCAAGATAGCTGCGCAACTCACCCAGGTCTGTGCACATGTGTCTCTTCTGCAGCTCCAACTTCACAAGGGCCAGTGCCTCAGTGTCAGCAGTGGCAAAGACCAATTCGTCGACGTACACGAGGATGTAGAATGGCGGCAGCGAAGTGTCGGTGCGCAGAAACAGCGACGGGTCAGCAGTCGACGGAGCAAACCCGAGAGCCGCAAGTGTCGTTCTCAGTGTGTCGTGCCACTCACGAGGCGCTTGGCGGAGACCATAGACTGGCCGCCGGAGGCTCCACTAGGTACCTGCAGGAAACGACCCAGTGAAGCCAGGTGGGCGGCGCAGCCAGATCTCCTCGTGCAGGCTGCCCTGCAAGAAAGCTGTAGAGATGTCAAGGGAGTGAAGCTCGTAGTCACGCTGAGCCGCAATGTGCAACAGCACCCGAAGAGTGGTCATCTTTGGGGTAGGGGAGAAGGTCTGGAAGAAGTCGACTCCCTGTCGCTGACTGAAGCCTCGAGCAACGTAACGAGCCTTGAAGACAAGCGGAGAACCCGGCGGCCGCTTCACCTTGAAAATCCACATGCCATCGACTATGTTCGCCCCAGGAGGGGGAACTGCATCGACGTAAGTGCCTGTGGACTTCAAGGATGCCATCTCTGCGTCCATGGTTGTCTGCCACTGAGAGGAGTAGGGACCCAAAATCGCCTCTGCGTAAGAGCGCGGGGTCGGGATGTCCAGTGCATCCGGGTCTCCCTCAGGTGCAAGCAGCCTAGCCACAAGATGAGGTACAGCAGCCGCAAGACACTCAAAGTCCTCTTGCCTGTCCTCAAGGACATCCGTGCCAAGAGCACACTCACCCCCGACGGACAGAGGACAGACAGACTCAGACTCAGCAACAAGACTAGCGGCGTAGTCTAGACGACACGCAGCAGCAAAGTCCACAAGCTCAGCAATTAAGGCAGACGCAGTAGTAGACTCAAACGACGGGTCAGTGACAACTGTAGCCATGAAACGCGTGACCGTGGGACTGGCAGCACGAACACGGTCAGACTCAGGGTCCGGAACGTCAGGAAGAGAGGACGCAGGAGGAGACGGCAGAGGGACGCGCTGTGGAAAAGAGGAAGGACGAAATGCCATAGAGTGGGTACCTGGCACAGGAGGAGGACACGGACGAGGGACACGATGAGCACTGCGAGCAGTGCAAACAGGGGGCGCAAGACGAGACGCAGGCTCATGACGATTTTAAGGGAGACCGGCTGCTCAGTGTAAGGAAGGGGGGCAGGCAGCGGTGAGTCTGGAGGAAGGGCAATGGATGAAGGAAGACTAAGAGCTTAACGGAGCACCGAGTCGGGCGGTAGCTCGTACAGCTGCGGCAGCGGCAAGAAAAACGGTCGCTGATGCACTGGGCCTCGAGCTCCAGCACCTCCACCTCCAGAGCCTCCAGCTCCAGCATCTCTAGCGCCAGTACCTCCAGCTCCAGCACCTGCGGCGCTAGCGCCTCCAGCTCCAGTGCCTCCAGCTCCAGTGCCTCTTGCTCCAGTGCCTCCAGCTCCAGTACCTCCAGCTCCAGCACCTCCAGCTCCAGCGCCTCCAGCTCTAGTGCCTCCAGCTCCAGCACCTCCAGCTTCAGCGCCTCCAGCTCCAGAGCCTCCAGCTCCAGCGCCTCCGGCTCCAGCAGCGTGACTCCGAAGGTGGGTGCGCATAGAAAAACCACTCGCGCAGCTGCTGTGGTGAGAGGGGCTCTCGCTGGGGAGACCCCTGTGGCGAGGCACCTTGAAGACCACCAGCAGACGCAGCACCACCAGGCTCAGCACCCCCAGAAGCAGCACCCCCAGGCTCAGCACCCTCAGGCTCCGCACGCTCAGGCTCAGCACCCCCAGGCTCAGCACCCCCAGGCTCCGCACGCTCAGGCTCTGCACCCCCAGGCTCAGCACCCCTAGGCTCCGCACGCTCAGGCTCGACACCCCCAGGCTCCGCACCAGCAAGCTCAGCACCCCCAGACGCAGCACCCCGAGCAGCACCACCCCCAGCAGCACCAGAGTCACCAGTGACCTCGACAGGCTCAGCCAAGGGAAGTGGGTCTACCTGAGACACACCTGAAGGAGCAGGACCTTGAGGGGGGAGGGGGTCTACCGGAGGGGGACCTGGAGCAAGGAAGAGCGGCGGGGGGGGGAGAGGGGCAGTGCGGTAGGGGAAGAGACGGTAGAAAGGAACCGACTCGTCAAACGTGACGTCCTGAGAGGACAGAACACGGCGCGAGGTGGGGTGGTAAAACTGCCAGCCAGTCGTGTTAGGGGGGAAGCCAAGGAAGACACAAGGAATAGCGCGGGACTGCAGAGCGACACAAGGAATAACGTGACGTCAAGCTTGTCCGCGGAGGTATCGCGGACAAAGGCACGAGAACCCCAGACCCGGAACACCGACGCATCGCCAACCTCCCCCGTCCAATGCAGTGTATACGAGGTCTCCGGCAAGGAGATACGGGGCCAGAGGTTGAGCTGATGCGCAGCGTACCGGACTGCAAACGGCCACAGAAAATGGGGAGCAGCCGCGTGGATCATGGAGGTACGAGCCACCTCCATGACTAAGCCAATGCGGCTCTGCAATCCCATTTTGCTGCGAGGAGGCCATAAGCGTGAACGACTAGAGGATGCCCTCCCCCTGACAAAAGTCCCTCAAGAGGTCGGAGGAGAACTCACCACCTTTGACTAAGTGCAGACGCAAGACGAGAAGGTCCGTGCGGAACCGCTCGCGGAGCTGGAGACGAACAGCGTGGATCCAAGAGATCAAGACAGCAGAGAACTCACCCTTGCTGCGTAAGGGGAAGATCGTGGTGTAACGCGAGTAGTCGTCAACAACCAGCAGAATGTACCGCTCGCGGCCCTGTCCAGCGATGCGGGCTGGGCCCCACATGTCCAAGTTTTGAGTCTGCAGGGGAGCAGTCGTCGGGGGAAACGAGGAGTGAGGAGCGGCGCGCTGCCGCCTTTTGACGCAAGGAACGCAGGGCGGGGCACGCGAGGGTGGGAGGGATGGCAAAGACCTAGGAAGACCAGTGAATGCCACGAAGGCGTGGCGGGAGTGCATGCCACGAAGGCGTGGCAGGGAGGGGTGACCAAGGCGGTGGTGCCAAAGGAGAGTCTGGTGCGACAGGAGGCGACACGAGCAAGGGGCTGCTACCTGACCTGACGTGGACACCTGAGCAGACGCAGCAACCTGAGGAGGCGCAGTAGTTAGTGTGTACAGACTCGACCCAGGCCAACAGGTGAACATGGCCAGGTGACGGCCGGTCCGGGAGCACGTACAGATCGCCACACGCTGGCCGCCAGGGGTGAAGGTATCAACCCATGCATCCTAAAGGACTGCGTTACTCACCAGGTTTGTCAATAACGAGGGGAGGTGGAGACCTTCACAGTGAGCCGGACGGAACCGCCGGACACGGGAGAACAGTGGAGGAACGTGCAAGAACCGGGCCCCCAGTGGGGTCACTTACCATCGGAAGTCATGCAATCGACTGCGGAGAAATCTATTCTACGGGAGAGCTGAATTGCGTGGGACGCACGATCAGAATTCTGGCAGTGATTTTTGACAGAGTGGTGGAATGCCTTGATGAAAATCAAGCATAGTTTTACTATAGAAAGTTGATAGAACAAGATTATGGTACAAGCAAGGAGAATCAAATAGCAAGAACAATGAGCCTTGGAGAAACGTTTCTCGGCTAACACCTAACTTATCCGAGTAAGCAACTTAGGTGAAACAACAAGCACGTGAGTCTTTCACCTGAGTTGGCAGTTTCTCAGGTTTACACCTTTCAGAGTTGTTTACATTTTTACTGCTAGTAAAAACGTGTTTCATGTTCATTTTCCTTACTGTTTTGAAATCTCCTGGGGAGTACAATTTCTAAGATGCTCTGATTAGTCGAAATTTGTTGTTTCGCAATTGGTCAAAATTCGCGCATATTGCGAATTTTGGAGACAATAAATTTTAGTCGATGTAAGGAACTTTCCATTTCCTTACGCCGCATCCCTGCTTAGCATGTACATCAGTGTACTCACCACAGTCGCCACCGTTACCACTCGCGACATTCGCCTCGACTCATTTTCCGCCTCGTCGCCCGCCGCACCCCAACACCACGGCTCGGCTGGTAACCCGCGCTCCAGACCTCTGCCTCGACAATTCCCAACCTCGGTCCCGACCTCAGTCCCAGGCCCATAGCGCACCTCCCACAATTCGTTACCGTTACCTCTAGGACCTTCGCTATTTCATTTTTGCTCATGCCTTCGCTTAATGTAATGTTTTGCTTCGATAGTGCAATTCTCGCTCGCTCGCTCAATTGCACTCGTAACACTTGGTTATCAGAGCCTACGACCTCCCCACTATCTCAATTTTTTGGGTGGGGAGGGGGGGGGGGGGGTGGGAGGGTGGGTAGACGTCTCTCAGTGAGCCAGCACAACCGCTCGAAGTGCTCTCTTGCAAGCACGCACGGCCACGACAGAGGCTCTCGCTGAGCTTGCCCGACACCCCCGCCAAGGCTGAATTCACGCTCGCGACATTGATGCAGGAGCAGCTCGACCACCTCGTGAGCCAACTCGAGAATTCGGCGCTCGAAGTTGCGACGCTCACGGCGGAACTCGATGCCGCTCGCCGGCAATCCGCGAGCAACGCACCTGCACCAACTCCAACAATTGCACCTGCACAAACGGACGAGCCAATCGAAATATCATCCGGAATGCCATCGCAACACGACAGCGTGGGACAGCGCTCAGGCGCAGCCAGTGAGGGCGCCGCCCAATCCATGCCAAACATGGAAAGAAACAGGACCGTCCCAAGCACACCGGGGCCTGGCGAAAACCGTCAGCACGTAACGTTCGCAGCAACGAGCGGCAACAACGAAGTCGCAACGCCGATGCTGCTCAAGCCCCAGCGCCCGCCCTGTTTCGACCCAAGCCAACGGGGAGGCCCGACGGTTCAATCGTGGATTATCACGATGAACGTCTTCTTCGACATGAATTACGTCAAAGACGACGCGGCGAAGATACGCTATGCTATCTCGCTGCTGAGGGGCCCCGCCATGGACTGGTGGCGAGTCATCGTAACATCGCCACGCGCCTACGAGCTGCCGTCGCGAGAGGGAGAGCCCATTGGCCCAGCCGTCACCTAGAGCTCATTTTGCGAAACCGCCCAGTACAGCACGTGGGATGCGTGGTGCGTAGGGCTTCGGGCGCGCTTCGAGCCGATCGCAGCTTCAATCTCGGCGCGTCAGAGACTACGCACTTGGCGATAGCTCGGGTCGGTTCAAGACTACACGAGCGGTTTTCTCGCATTATGCGAGCAAGTCGGCTACATGCACGAAGCGGAGCGGGTGGACCGTTACGTCGGAGGGCTGAAGCCGGACATCTCGCACGATATTATGCTCCGCGGACTCTTGAAATTCAACGAGATTCTCGCGCTCGCCGAGAAAATCGATATTTTGCGCCGACCGAGACCGGTGTCGTACTACGGACATCGCCCTCAGGGGGCCGAATGAGCATGCCACCGTACACGCCGTTGCGACGAATGCAGCTGCCGCGCCGTTTAAGGGGCGCTGCTTTGCTTGCAACAGGCCGGGCCATCGCAAGAGCGAGTGCCCAGAGGAGCAAAGGCGCCGCGGAGCAGAGCAGGGGAGGGAGTCTCAGAGGCAGGGAAACGCCAGCAGTCAGTAGCAAACGGGCCAACTACTGACGAAATTACCTGCTCGCCCAACCTCACCGACCCTCACCAAGTCACAATACTGATTCACGCTATCGATCGGGCTCGGATGAATAAGGAGGGTACAGCGACGGATTGCCCAGTACTTGTCCACGGGAAGATAGAGGGAGCAGTAGTGAAAATCTTCATCGACGGAGGGGCAAGTCACAGTTTAGTTAATACCGCAACTGCACGGAAGCTGCAACTGCCACTTAGTCAGTGCTTACCGGAGATAGATGCACGCTTAGTCGATGGAACGCCACTGGCCATTCGGGAAAAAGTGGAGAGAGTAAAAGTCCGCTGCGAGGGTAACTTCGAGTTTACACAGGAAATGATCGCGACGACATTTTACTGGGACGTGATTGGCTGCGACGGTATAACCCGCGAATTGACTGGACGACGGGTAGCTGCACCGTGCGAAGTAGCGGTAACTAGGTAGAGCTACCTCGCTGGCAGTCGCCCGAGTCTTCAACGGTCCACGTCAACGCCATCACGATGAAACGGGCTGTCGCCGCATGAGCTCACGGGTACCCAGTGGATATAGCAGTGGTGGAAAAAACAGAGGCGCCGAGTGATTTTCAGAAACTCCTAGCAGCAGTACCGCCCGAGCTACAGGAGCTATCGACACGGTACCTGGGGATTTTCCCGGACGACTTGCCGGAGGGACTACCATCTCAGCGAGCACACGACCATCGCATTGAGTTAGAACCAGGGGCACAGCCAACCGTACAGTGACAGTTCAGACTGACACAGCCCGAGCTCGACGAACTGAGGAAGCAGTTAGATTACCTGTTAGAGAAGCAGTTCATCCGACCGAGCTCGTCACCGTTCGCCGCACCGATACTGTTCACACCGAAGAAAGACGGCGGATTTCGCATGTGCATTGACTACAAAGCACTGAACCGCGTAACCATCAAATCACGTTACCCGATTCCCCGCGCCGACGAACTAATCGATCAACTGCGAACAGCCAGGGTGTTCTCGAAAATCGACTTACGAGAGGGGTTACCATCAGATTAGGGTCGAACCATCGGACTTCGCCAAGACAGCTTTTCGCACTAGGTACGGATCCTTCGAATACACCGTCATGCCCTTCGGACTGACCAACGCCCCCGCGACTTTCCAAATGACCATGAACGAGGTGTTAGGCCACTGTTAGATAAGTGTGTCATCGTCTACCTGGACGATATCCTAATTTACAGCCGGGATAAGCAACAGCACTTAGCGGACTTAGAGGCAGGTTTTTAACTGACCAAGGGGTCGAAGTGTGAGTTTTTCCAGGACCGGTTAGAGTTTCTGGGACACGTGATTTCGGAGGATGGGGTCGAAATCGACCCAAAGAAGCTGGATACAGTTCAGGCGTGGCATCCCCCGACAAATCTCACGGAACTGCAGAGCTTTTCAAAATTCATTAACTACGTGCGTCGGTTCGTCCCCGACATGGCGCGTTTGACTGCCCCGCTAATTGACCTACTGCGGAAGGGGGTAGAGTTTACGTGGGGGGAGAAAGAGCATGCTGCCTTCTCTGCCCTGGAAAAAGTTCTCTGCACACCGCCCGTTCTGCGCATTGCCGACCCTCACCGCCCCTTCGAAGTAGTTACGGACGCTAGCGACATCGCCATTGGAGCTGTACTGTTACAGGACTTCGGCGACGGCCTACAGCCCATCGTGTACGAATCACGGAGCTGCACCCGCCCGAGAAAAAGTACCCGATACACGACCGCGAAATGCTCGCGATCGTGCACGCCTTCAAAGTCTGGCGATGTTACTTGACCAGAGCCGACGTGACAGTACGGACAGATCACAAATAACTACATTACCTCCGCGCACAGCCCAATCTCAACCCACGACAGATTCG